TATATATATAAACTTTAAACCACTGCTTTCTCCAGTGAAAAAGTTCTTACTGTCTGATTTAGGAGAGAAATATGCACAGATCAAGCCAGCAAAAGCAGTCCAAAACAGTTCTAAATAAATATGTTTAGATGTCTTTTTCACTGGAGAAAGCATTATTATTAACTCATATTTTGGATAGAAGCAACGGTTTACACTTAAAATGCCTTAATGATGATTTGTTTCTCACAAACATGCAGCTTTTCACTTCACAAGACGTTAATTGATGGACTGGAGTTGTGTGGATTACTGTGATGTTTTTATCAGCTGTTTGGACTCTCATTCTGACGGCACCCATTCACTGCAGAGGATCCATTGGTGAGCAAGCGATGGAACTTTCTCTAAATCTGTTCCGATGAAGAAACAAACTCATCTACATCTTGGATGACCTGAAGGTGAGTACATTTTCAGCAAATTTTTATTTTTGGGTGAACCCACAATGAAATGTCTTTGGTCAAAACTCCCGCACCACTTTAAATAATAAATTACATGGGTACAGATTGGCTTTGCTTTTGTCTAATTGTGTTTTTAATTTTGGTAAGAAGATGCAAATAACAAATAATGGTAAAAAAAAAGTAAAAATAATAATAATAATGCTGGAAATGTTATGTTACAGTTAGGACACAATGTTAAGCCATGATACTATAGCTAATAATTTTAAATCATAATAATGAATCCACACAATAAAACTAGAAACACAAAGTAAATAGTGTTAATTCATATCTCATGTTGTCTTTAATGGTTTCAAGATGTAAATATTTTGTACTTTAATCAGAAAAATACCTACCGTTTGTTTACACACGGTGTGGAAAACTCTGCAAGCAGACGGAAGTTAGCAAAATAAGGCAACATTCCTTGACCCTGGAAACACAAGGTGAAGAACAAACAAACTATGACACGGACACGAGTTATAGAAATGCAAAGCCTCATGAATCAGCTCCAACAGTCTCAATATCTCCTGCTGTCAGGTACCCACAGTAATTGCTTCAGTGCTGAGTTATGATACTTCACTCTGACAGACATAACAAAAGAGCAAAGTAAACAAAAAAATATAGAAAATAGAAAAAGGGTTGCATGGATAGTTATTCTATTAATATAGGATTTATTTTAAGATCAAATAATGTCCTTCAGTTTTTATTGTCTATATTTAGCTTGTTATTTTCAGAGAATATGTAGAGGATTTACAATTTTTTACTTACAATGTAAGTAAAATTACATCCACGTATGGAGTAGAAGAATGCATGACAATTAGAGTGATTACGCTAATATTGTCAACTGCATGCATTAAATAAATCATGAAAAAAATGTCTGTTTTCAATTATGTACTAAATAAATAAAGCAGAATAAATTAGATAATCTGGCTCAAAACTAAAACAAACTAGTTTTTTGTTCAGATTACTGATATTTGCCATTTAAAAATCCCTGAATTAATTAATATAAATGGATAACAGGATGATTTTAACAACGTTAATTATGAAATTAGAAACCAAAACTGTGCTTTCAGTAATAACAACCCACATTTCAAATAAGCCACATATTGTCAGGCACATACAGTGTGGTCCAAATGTCTGATACCACGAGTGAAAAACTTTCTATTGTGAATTCTTCACTACAAATTATAATTATTGAAATGAATATATTATTGTATTATATAGCAATTAAAATGAAAAGTTCAATTGAAAAATGAAAACAGAATTTTTTAGTATTTAATTTCTTATATTTTTTGCTTTAAAGGGATAGTTCAACAAAAAATGAAAATTATGTCATTAATTACTCACCCTCATGTCGTTCCAAACCCATAAGACCTTTGTTCATCTTCGGAACACAAATTAAGATATTTTTGATGAAATCAAAAGCTTTCTGACCCTGCATAGACAGCAACAGAACTGCCACGTTCAAGGCCCAGAAAGGTAGTAAGGGCATCATTAAAATAGTCCATGTGACATCAGTGGTTCAACCGTCATTTTTTGAAGCTACGAGAATACTTTTTGTGTGCAAAGAAAACAAAAATAATGACTTTATTCAACAATTTCTTCTCTTCCGTGTCAGTCTTCACCACGCGTTCATGAGAGTACCACGACTCATGCATGTTGTGCTGCTGACACAGGAGCCGGTGTTCTGACGTAAAACCCGGATGCACTACGCCTTGTTTACAAGCAGAGGAATGCACACGCATGCGTCGTAGTGATACTCCCATGAACGCAACAAGGAAGAGAAGAAACTGTTGAATAAAGTCATTATTAGATGATGTGACATTATTAGTCACATCAAAAAGTATTCTCGTAGCTTCATAACATTACGGTTGAACCACTGATGTCACATGGACTATTTTAACAATGTCCATACTGCCTTTCTGGGCCTTGAATATGGAAGTTCTGTTGTTGTCTATAGAGGGTCAGAAAGTTCTCGGATTTCATCAACAATATCTTAATTTGTGTTCCAAAGATGAACGAAGGTCTTATGGGTTTGGAATGACATGAGGGTGAGTAATTAATGACAGAACTTTCATTTTTGGGTGAAATATCCCTTTAATGACAGCAGCTCTCAAGCAGCATGATTTCCACAAGTTTGTCTAAAACCTGATGATCAAGTTTTTCAGCATGATTTGAGAACGATCCAAAGAGCATCTTGTGCTTCAGTGGACGCAATCTAACCATATGAACAAAGTCGTTCACGTCATATTTATTTGATTATGACTTTGTAACATCATTTACTCACCCTCAAGCTGTTCCACACACAAAAGATGATATTTTGAACAATGTTGGTAACCAAACAGTTGACGGCAGCCATTGAGTTCCATAGTATGGAAAAAAATTACTATGGAAGTCAATGGCTACCATCAACTGTTTGGTTACCCACATTCTTCAAAATATCTTTTTATTTTCAACAGAAAAAAAGAAACGACTTGAGGGTGAATAAATGACAAATTTCATTTTTGGGTAAACTATCCCTTTTAAGCATTTTTGAATCATTTAAATGTTATTTACATTTTTTTTCCAAAACGCTAATACTTTATTTCTAGGTAAAAAAAAATTTAAAAAAATCCCAGATTTTTTATGTGGTCTTATACTTTTGGATCCCACTGTATTAGTATAGCAATGGTCAGCCATGCAGGTTTTGTCAGAAAATGAAGCCTTTAATAGCCTTTCCTTGCAAAGAGAGGATTATTTGGACCGATTCCAATTAAATGTTCCTCTCCAAACCAGTTTTGGCATTATCATTCCTCTAGCAAGAGAATAAACATTTGGCATCTCGATAACACTTACCTTGAGGTCTGCAATTAAAACATGCATTAGCATACTTACTGCAAAATGGACCATATAAAATCAAGGATAAAAAAAAAATAATCAGGTTGGCTAGCAGATGCATGCTGGTACCCCTAGGTACTGGTAAGTCCATACTGTAACTGGGCTTCAGTAACTGCTCAGAGTTCCATAACAGCAGGACAGCAGACAAGACAGGAGAGAGTCCATCTAGATCAGCCAAGCCTATATCCCTCATCTCTAAACCCGACTAACAGTGACACTGGTAGTTTTTGCATGAAGGGTTTTGCTGGTCAGAGGAAGTGAGGCTGCGTTATTCAAGAAGTCATGTTAAGTGGGACAAAGACAGACTGACAGACAGATTCTTGGAAAAAAAAGGTTGAGAAAAAATGCAAAAAGAACGAACGACACAGAAGCAGCAACACCATTTAAGACTCGCTGGACATGCACTATGAGAAACAAATCGAACGACACTGACAAATTAATTAGATTTTATTCCACTTCTAAAAAAAAAAAATAGACTAACAGTTTGATAGAACATTAAAGGTTAAATGTCAGTGCTAAATTTAGCGAAACGCTCTGTTCTTAAGATGAAGCAAAATTATTAAGCACTGAAGAGACTGATGGGGTACATTATGCTTATGATAAAAATAAGGTGGATATTAGCCTGGGAAGGCGGCAATAATTAACAAAAAGACACTTAAAAGTTCTGGTTTTAACACTAATAGCATTTCTAAACACAGGAAACAGTAACAACGAATGACATTTCCAACGACAGACTTAATTACTCACTGAGACCCAACAGAAGACTTCCAGCTCCATGTTAAATTACACCTATTATCTTGTAATAATAATTTAGAAAAAGGCTTGAAATGGCAGTCATAAGAGTGACCAGTGACAGTATGGTCTACATCCTGACAACAAAATGCACTTTCAGGTTTGAGGCGATCCTCAAAGTTGCATTAAATCAGTGCAAGGTAACTGTAGGGTATGTAAGCAACAATAAAGCCATTAATATGAAAAGTCGCTGCCCCAGATGCATTTTTAGGATTTTTGTTTTTAATTTGTGGTGGCTTTTTTTTTTTTTTTTTTTTAAATCTTTTGGGTGGTTTTTTTTTTTTTTTTTTTTTGAAATGAACAAGCCAAGACAATTAATTAGACCATCAAAAATCATTTGTCATGGTCTTTCTACATTAACAGGTGCCCTTTGAGTTTCTGTTGTATGTATTTGTATGCACAAAACTGTGACTGGACAAAAAAAATAAATAATTTGAATACAGTATTTTTGATCACACTTTTTTTTTTTCTTTTTCTTTTTTACCATTCATGCATTTAGTAAACACATAGTGTGCAAGCATGACCCAGAAAACATGTTACCATGTCAGGTCATTCTGTGAGGATTACCTATTAATGACTTTAACAATTAACAGCTTTTAATAAGTTAACTAAAGTTAATAAGAATTTAATAAGATTTCATTCAATAGCATATGTAGTTATTACAAGGTATATAAAATTAAAAATGTAAATAATTAAATATAATCTATATAAATATATAATATATATATACACACACACACACGCGCCAGGCTCTTAATGCATCGTTTTTCCTTCTGGAGCTTCAGTGACTTTTTGAACCTTTTGTAATACTTGGGTATGAGTCGCTCAGTTGTCCTCAAGTGTGAAAAGATGGATCTCAAAATCATACAGTCATTGTTGGAAAGGGTTCAAATATGCAAAAGATGCTGGAAAACCAAAAGGTAATTTTTATAAATTCAACTTATTTTCTCTTGTGGACTATATTTAAACGTCTTTTATGTGAAATAACTTACTCGGGTCAGTACTAAATAAAAAAATAACATGCCTATTAACAACATATATAAAATTGTTAAAACATTATAGACCGTGACTTTAAATATCACCTTTAATTGTTTTAGGCACCCGTTTTACAGAATGACTCATGCCAAACAACTGAGCATCAACAGATGCTATTTTAAATGTTTAGGGCTGAGGACCAGATCAACCTGTTATTCAGCAAAAACCTTCTCATATTGTGAGTGTGGAGCATCTCGACACAGCCCAACAAACAAGTGCTTTCTCGCTGTTACTCATCCTGCAGTTGAGACGTGGTTGTTAGGTTTTAGAAGAGAGGCTTTAGGAGGAAGATCGGCTCAAAGCAGGGGAAGGTATCAGAGCATGCACACAGGGAACCCTCCAACAGCACCACAGGAACAGCGAGCATCAACACATGCACACAATCCAATCTGGTGCAGTTTGGGCCGAAAGCCGGCCAGAACTGACCGATGGAGTTGCTGGGGGGGGGGTTGGCAGTGAGGTAGAGTTGAAGAGGAGAGAATGGACTTCTGCATAAACGTCAATGAGCATTCCATGCAAAAAATACCATCATCATCATAACCATAGTCAGCTACAGAACTTGGTGACCTAGAGGGTAACCGTACAACTGAACCAAGAGTGAACAGTAGTGGCCTCAGTGGTGTAGTCTAGTAGCAAAAGATCTGGACTGGTAACTGCAACCATCTGGAGACCATTTTTAACAAAAAACAAAGAATACTCTATATAGGGATGCACAAAACAGACAAGTTTCTTGGAAGCTGTTTAAATAAGAGGTGTTATTGTGTTCTTAACTAGACAGAGCACAACAGAACGCCTCAATCTCAAGAAGCATAAAAGCTTTCATCAGTCTAAATGCATTTATGAAATGATGGTGCTTCAAACATTTTTAAATGAAAATTTTCCAAGACAGCTGTACTGTGCAAACTAATAAATCATGAATGAATGAATGAATGAATAAATGAATGAATAAAGCAAAAACATGTTATTTAATGTTAATGTAATTCAAAATTAGATTAATTATTCAACCTCACTTAGGTTATCAACAAGTTAGTTGCTGGATGATTAGTCAACCACATGATTTATCCTTAATATTAAATTTAAAAAAAATTCTACAAACGAGGCCTTTGCATGCAGCAGTTAAAAACAAAGGACCAAGGACATTTTGTTCTAAATCTGAACCTTAAAAACTTTAAATTCAGAGAAGGTCACAGGTCATATATGGGGTCAAATTTAGCTAAAAATACCCAAAGAAGGTCACTAGACCAGAATGACAGGGTGCAGTTCTTTCTACAGTATTTCCTGGACATTTATTTAAGATAATGTACAGTCAGTCTGTCATTACTGGTAAATAAACTCCAACAGAGAAATCTTTTTTCAACATGATGGGGTTTATGTTGTCATAAAAACCAGCTGACAGTTCATTATCCTACTTATTACACAGCTATTTGCATGAATAAATAAATGCATAAATGAATGAATGCATAAATAAATACATAAATAGGCATGAAATACTGATACAAGTTTAAATTATTGTGCGGAAAAAAAGACCACAGATTGAAATGAGAAACATGAAACTAGCAATTATCCATGTTATTATCCGAAAACATTTGCCCACAAAATGCTGCAATTTGCCTGCAATGCCACAGAAATGACAGATCAGAAGTATTTCAGAAAGTCATGTACTAACAGGGACAAATCCTTCTGACCATCCTGTTCCTCTGTTTATGGTTTAGCGATCACTCTCGTGTCGTGGAGCGTCAGCCAGGGAACACAGAGCTTTCAGCACCAGCTGCACAACTGACACTACCACTGCTCACTCTTGGTTGTCTCTTTCCCATCTTGCCTGCATGTTCTGTTACGAGACAACAGGGAACTCACCAGTACATAGTAGTAAGCATACAATGCTGCCAGGTGGTGGATTACAAAAAACTTGTCTCCTATTGCTCTCCAATAGTAAAATATAAGCAGCAGATCTGAAAAACACAGAAAAGGCAAGAAGAGTCAGAACTACTTTAAGGAATAAGAATTAGAAAACACTGCCATAACAGTGATTAATACATTCATAGAACTACTAATAATATGGCCAACCTATAATATACCCACAATTCACAAGGAAACACTGATCTATGGACATTTGCAGAACAAACATGTTTCTCTGTGGTCATCTTAACCTTGTTTCAGATTCCATAAAGCCTCTGCCAAAACTGTATACCTTTGATGGCTGTCAGGCTATGTTATTTTGGTTTATTTTTTAGAGTTTTTTTTTTTTTTTAGAAAATTAACACAAATATTACATGAACCATCAATTTATATGCAAGTCACCAAGCATTACTACCATAAAAATGAAAAGGCATACCACAAAAAAACATTTTCATAAACTGAAATAAATATAATTTGAAAAACTGAAACTAAAAAAAAAAAAGATACATTATAATAAAGGTCTAATTTAAACTTTTTTTTAATAAACAATTTTGTCTTATTTGTTAATATAAGGTAATGGAATAACAAACATGAATAACAATGATAAATATATTTTTACAGCATTTTATTAATGTTGGTTAATAAAAATACATTTGTTAGTTGTTTGATGAATTGGTTGAAAAATGTGGTAACACTTTACAATAAGGTTTATTAGTTAACCACTTTAGTTAACATGAAGTAAGCATGAACAACACTTCTACAGCATTTATTAATCTTAGTTAACTTTAATTTCAACATTAACTAATGCATTATTAAAATCAAAAGTTGTGCTTGTTAACATTAGTTAATGCACTGTGAATTAACATGAACTAACGACTGGATTTTCATTAACTAACATTAAGAAAGATGAATAAATACTGTAATAAATGTATTGTTCATGGCTTGTTCATGTTAGTTAATACATTAACTAATGGAACCTTATTGTAAAGTGTTACCAAAAATGTATTAATAATTAACGTGGAGATTAAAACATTCTGAAGTACTGTTCATTGTTAATTCATATTAATGTAGTTAACTAATGTTAACAAATTAAACTTTACTGTAAAGCATGTTTCTTCATCAGTTAATGATAAATTAGTCCAATTTCAACTTATGTACATCAAGTACATAATTGCATTATATTGGTCAAAAAAATTTGTAACGAGTTATGAGAAAAAATGACAACTCAAAATAGAAAAAAACTAATTGAAACAAAGCTCATCAAATAATCATCAAGTGCAAAAAAAAAATGAAAGTGAAATCTGAAAAAAATTGAAATGTGACCCTGGACCACAAAACCAGTCTCAAGTCGCTGGGGTATATTTGTAGCAATAGCCAAAAATATATTGTATGGGTCAAAATTATAGATTTTTCTTTTATGCCAAAAATCATTAGGATATTAAGTAAAGATCATGTTCCATGAAGATATTTTGTAAATTTCCTACTGTAAATATATCAAAACTTAATTTTTGATTAGTAATATGCATTGCTAAGGACTTCATTTGGATAAGTTTAAAGGTGATTTTCTCAATATTTTGATTTTTTTGCACCCTCAAATTCCAGATTTTCAAATAGTTGTATCTCGACCAAATATTGTCCGATCCTAACAAAGCTTATTTATTCAGCTTTCAGATGATGTATAAATCTCAATTTTGAAAAATTGACACTTAAGACTGGTTTTGTGGTCCAGGGTCACAAATGTCATCATCCTTCAAAAACATAATATTATAAGACATTTTACAGAATCATCTGCAACCAGGTTAAAATGGTCACAGAGATGGTGAAATGTTTCTAGAGAGGTGTTTCTTTGTTGAAAATGGGATAACCAACAATTTAAATAAGTTAATCTACTAGAAACCCACAAAAATGCAATCAGGAGCATTAGTACAAAAAAATACTTGAATTTTCAAATCTAACTCTCAATATTACAATAAACTCCCAAAATGTCTTGCATTTAATGCATAATGCAGCACTCCAAACACTATCAGATATCTGCAGTAAGCTCTCACCAGATATGAGGTAGCCTGTAGTAATGCTCACGTTTATCTTCACCAGAGTAGGATCTCCCCTGTTGTGGTAAAGATGAGGACAAGGCACTGAGATTTACAACAAGATCACCTTAAAACAGTAACGTAAAGAGTCATCGGTAAAGAGCAGCGCTTTCCCAGCATGCCCTGCATGCAGTGTGACCGGTCGGTTTAACAGCAGAGCACTCACCATACGGGGTCCTGATTGACGGCCTCATCGAAGAACAGGATGTAGAGGCAGAAAAGGCCAACTAACAGGGCGTGGAGCGTGGACACGGTCCTGCAGAGACACAAAAAGCGGTTTTATTACACATGACAGCAGTGTTAACAGTAGTTTGCTTCTCCCATAAAACAATGTCAAGTTGAAACAATGGAAATAGAGCGATTGACTGCTGTCAATCAACTCAGCACTGTGTGTCCTACATCTACAAATCTCCTCCAGCTGGCTGTTCTCATGACAGCCCACTGAAATGAGCATTATCGCTGCCATCTTCACCAGTTTCTTTATGCATACACAGACGTTAGTGATTGAGCGACAGCTTACAACCTGCTCTCCACAGCAAAGTCTTCTGATAAGACATTCCCAGTTCTTGTTCTTCCCAGTGAAGCAAAAGCATTTATGGAATCATTTAGACATACCTGTTTGCACTGTATGAGTCTTTTCACCCAGTTCTTCTCAACGTATCAAAACCACATGGTACAACCAGTGTAATCTGATTCCTAAACAAATGACTCTTTGAGCCAGTTCTTTTTAGTTAATCAAAACCATACAGTGCAACCAGTTACGTCTAAATGACTCCCAAATGAATTAGTCTTTTGAGTGAATTATTTTTAATAAATCAGAACCACACAGTGCAACCGGTGTAGTCCGATTCCTAAACAAATGACTCTTTGAGCCAGTTCTTTTTAGTGAATCTTGTAAGATAAAAAGTCACAATAATCTTTTTTTATTTTTTATTCAGTGGCGGAAACGGGCTTCCATACATTTCACATATAGGCCTATTCATTTAATTTATATATGCAGAAACATTCAGTAATATGATACATGTTTGTAGAAAATTATATTTACAATTATTTTTTAAATAGGCTATATAATATTTTAATTAAGCAGAGGGTCATTCTCAAAACAGTGAAATGTGTAGTATTTGCAGTAGGCTATTCAGATTAGTATTTAACAACTATTATTTGTTCAGTGACTGATTCTTATGTGCAACTTGTACAGCAAAAATGTGGATCATAAGGTAAATAAATGTAAAAGTTGCCTATTAAATGTAGGCTTAATAATGTAATAAAATATTAAACCATTGTTTGTCGAACAGCAAATTGAATCAATAAAGTGTAAATTACTATATAGCTAATATAGCTAATAACAACAGCACAGCAATACTTTTATTAGACAGTTCTTTTTGGTGACTCAACATTCAGGACGAACAGTGTAGTCCGATTCCCACACAAATGACTCTTCTGAACCAGTTCTTTTTAGTGAATCAAAACCATACAGTGCAACCAGTTTTCCAAATGATTCTTTTGAGCCGATCTTTTTAGTAAATCAAATAGAAACGGTGCAACCAGTTGTCTAAATGATTCCCAAATGAATTAGTCTTTTGAGTAAGTTCTTTTTAATAAATCAGAACCACACAGTGCAACCGGTGTAGTACGATTCCTAAACAAATGACTCTTTGAACCAGTTCTTTTTAGTGAATCAAAACCATACAGTGCAACCAGTTTTCCAAATGATTCCTGAACAAATAATTATTTTGAGCCAGATCTTTTTAGTAAATCAAATAGAAACAGTGCAACCAGTTGTCTAAATGATTCCAAAATGAATTAGTCTTTTGAGTGAGTTCTTTTAATGAATCAGAACCACACAGTGCAACCGGTGTAGTACGATTCCTAAGCAAATGACTCTTTGAACCAGTTCTTTTTAGTGAATCAAAACCATACAGTGCAACCAGTTTTCCAAATGATTCTTTTGAGCCGATCTTTTTAGTAAATCAAATAGAAACAGTGCAACCAGTTGTCTAAATGATTCCAAAATTAATTAGTCTTTTGAGTGAGTTCTTTTTAATGAATCAGAACCACAGTTCAACCGGTGTAGTACGATTCCTAAACAAATGACTCTTTGAGCCAGTTCTTTTTAGTTAATCAAAACCATACAGTGCAACCAGTTACGTCTAAATGACTCCCAAATGAATTAGTCTTTTGAGTGAATTATTTTTAATAAATCAGAACCACACAGTGCAACCGGTGTAGTCCGATTCCTAAACAAATGACTCTTGGAGCCAGTTCTTTTTAGTGTATCAAAACCATACAGTGCAACCAGTTTTCCAAATGATTCTTTTGAGCCGATCTTTTTAGTAAATCAAATAGAAACAGTGCAACCAGTTGTCTAAATGATTCCAAAATGAATTAGTCTTTTGAGTGAGTTCTTTTAATGAATCAGAACCACACAGTGCAACCGGTGTAGTCCGATTCCTAAACAAATGACTCTTGGAGCCAGTTCTTTTTAGTGTATCAAAACCATACAGTGCAACCAGTTTTCCAAATGATTCTTTTGAGCCGATCTTTTTAGTAAATCAAATAGAAACAGTGCAACCAGTTGTCTAAATGATTCCAAAATGAATTAGTCTTTTGAGTGAGTTCTTTTAATGAATCAGAACCACACAGTGCAACCGGTGTAGTACGATTCCTAAGCAAATGACTCTTTGAACCAGTTCTTTTTAGTGAATCAAAACCATACAGTGCAACCAGTTACGTCTAAATGACTCCCAAATGAATTAGTCTTTTGAGTGAATTATTTTTAATAAATCAGAACCACACAGTGCAACCGGTGTAGTCCGATTCCTAAACAAATGACTCTT